GGGCGGGGCTATCATTTCACCGCCTGTGATTGGCCCTCGTTCCGCTCGTGATACTTCGAGTTGTCCAATCACACACGGGTTTATGGGTTTAGTCTGTGAAAACACGCAATCAGAAGCGTCCACATCTCTGTGTAAATTAGCATAGGCTAGTGAATATAAACGGCTCTGTCCGGTTGTTTCTGATCATTGACTCGTCAGCAGCATCATGCCTGAACCAGCGAAGTCCGCGCCTAAGAAGGGCTCCAAGAAGACCGTCACTAAGACCGCAGCGAAGGGAGGAAAGAAGCGCAGGAAGAGCAGGAAGGAGAGCTACGCCATCTACGTCTACAAAGTGCTGAAGCAGGTTCATCCTGACACCGGGATCTCTTCGAAGGCGATGGGCATCATGAACTCTTTCGTCAACGACATCTTCGAGCGCATCGCCGGTGAAGCGTCTCGTCTCGCTCACTACAACAAGCGCTCCACCATCACTTCCCGAGAGATCCAGACCGCCGTGCGTCTGCTGCTGCCCGGGGAGCTGGCCAAGCACGCCGTGTCTGAGGGCACCAAGGCCGTCACCAAGTACACCAGCTCCAAGTAGAGCTCCGCTGCAGCGCGCACACACAAAGGCTCTTTTAAGAGCCACCCGTCTTCTCGCTTAAAATAGTTTTTACTTGATTTTCCAAGACTAGAACTGATGTCTATTCTAGTCACTAACTTCTCCGTCGGGTTTGTGTTGTCTGGGGTTGTTAGATTACGTTCTTTGTTTTGATTTAGTACGGTTTCAGAATTAGAACTGGAACACAGCCCAGACAGAATAAGCCATAACTTCAAAGTTAGTAGAAAAATTGATGTTTGCTTACATTAATTTGCTCTTTTTGTATTAAATTCAATCTGGAATTTTGCTCTACAAACGTTAAATTCTGTTAATTAAAAATGTGCATTCACACTTGATACTACGGATCTGTGTTATATAATGCGCTGCCCTGGTTTCTCGTAGGTCCTTTAAGCAAGTGTAAAAGGCCTCGCTCTGTTCTTGCGCATTATTCTCGTAATATTTCGCTGACAGACGAGAATTATTATACATGTCTGGAAGAGGCAAAGGCTTTTGGGAGTCACCCATATTCCCACACAAAGAGCTGTTGTCCAAGATTGAGGAAGTTTGATATAACGTGTTTTGACACCTGCATTTTATTAAAAAACAGTAAATAAACGCAGACAGTCAAGGGAAAACATAAATAAAAGTACTAATGTACGTGAAGAAAAAGCATTTTGTTGCGTCTCTTTTAAGTGACTTTTTTCATGGCTTTATACCCCTATTGTAGATGTAGTATAGATTATTATTATACTTTTTTTAAGACCGACAATCAAACAACTCATCTTAAACGTTTATTCAATATGAGAAATAGAAGTCTCGCCGTTTGAAGAAGGACGTCAGCTAAGTCTCATTACAACTCAAATATATTTCTAGAAATATTACAGCCTTTCTCAATGACCACACTTAAAAAATCCCCAGCTGACACAAGTGTGTGTGTTTATTTATTTTCACAAGTAAACAACTATATGCATATATTAACATATTAAACCAAGAGTCTCTAAAAAGTCCATACGCTGCATCCAAAATCACATAATTTGCTGTAAATGTGTTCACCCTCGGTTCATCTGAGATCAGGATGAGTTTGTTTCTTCATCAGGTTTGGAGAAATGTAGCATTGCATCAGTGTCTCAGCAATGGATGCTCTGCAGTGAATGGGTGCCGTCAGAATGAGAGTCCAAACAGCTGATAAAAACATCACAATAATCCACAAGTAATCCACAGCACTCCAGTCCATCAGTTAACATCTGGAGAAGACAAAAGCTGAAACAAATCCATCACGACTTCAAGTTTGAGCTCGTACAATATATTAAGTGTACACTATATCAACTAAATATAAAATTAAAAAGAAATAAAATCTTCCAAAATAATTTCAACCTCACTCTGTTAATTTCTGTTCACTAAAAGTATTTATGGTGTCATATTTCCGCATACTAAAGGAACTCACTTTCTCACTGGCTGTGAATGTGGGACTCTAGCTTTCTTTATTTTATAGTCAGAGGTTTGATCCGCTACACTGTGAACTGTGATCAGTGGCAGCACCTTACAGTAATTAGCATTATTACTACAGGTTTGTGTCTGGTATTTACTGCGGCGAAGGTTTTACTGGCATCTGCTCTCTAGATGGCAGCACTTGTGTGTTTTATGGACATCTACACAGATGAACTACTGCATTTGCCAACATGTGCAGTGCATCACATGGCAAGAGATGCAATCCCAAAATACAATGCACTGCACAGAGATTTACAGCTAGGAGTTATTTGGTCAGACCACCAAGTTTTAACACAAAACTGGATTAAAACAGCAAAATGATGATTATTTATTTCCAAGATTATAACTGCACGCCACTCGCTGAACTAAACATGCCATGTCTTGTTACAGTGTTTGATATATTCGTTGTTGCATAAAGGAATTAAAAAATATAATAGGCAATATGCATAGCGTTCCATTGATGAGCATAGCATTTTTCTAAATCCAAGATTAATCACAGAAAGTGGCATGAGGCTTGTTAAAAGTCTACCCACGGGTTGCTCTGAATGCCATGCTATATACATACAACACATTGATTCATCTCTTATAACTGCTGTTATGATGAGTACAGATCATCCGATCAGTTACGTCAGTCAATCCAGTGTTTCAAATGTCTTACAACACAAAATTCATGTACCAATTTGAGCAGCTACGGTGTATAATGTAGTGAAAGGAGGACATAAATGCGTACATGCCACACTTTTCATCGTTTCAGTGGATGCTTGTTGGTCGGTTGCCAGTTTTCTTTGAGGCACTTATAGCAGAAAGTACACTAGATATCCATAAGCAGAGACCAGCATTTATGTCGACAGTCCAAAGCCTGACTATTAAAAAGTCCCTCATTGCTGTCGTTCTCCTGGACGAGTTGTGTTGTGTGTCTGTAGGGGGCAGTGATGGATCTGCTCTCAGAGCCGCTCCTAAAGAAATAGCTGACTGGCATCTCTCATCATCTGTTAAAGAGCACAGAAGAAGATGGGATGAGGAAAACGAGAGCTGCGGTGAAGAGAGAAATGAGTAATATATGTTGGACAGTATTTCAGTACTCCTATCTACAACTTTGCCTGAAATGCCGTATAAGCCAGCGGCTGTTTAACACATAACTGTCAGAGAGACAGAATATAGAACCCGACAGACCGTCAAGAAACCCTCGAGAAACCCTGTCCCTCCTCAAACTGACAAAGCAATGTTCTGATGATCTCAGTTTTGCTCGAAACACAAAGATGCAAGTCAAATATAAAAAATGTATGTAACCAAGGCTCATAATCTACAAAGGAAGCAAAATGATACACACCAAAAGGAATAGGAAAAAAAAAAGTCAAGTGACATTGAGCCAATCATTCGGTCGTGCATGATTTAAAGCACAGTCGTAAACATCTCAAATTAATGCATTACATTTAAGAGACCCTGCAAGATGCATGTGCAAAATACTTTTTTTTTTTTTAAGAAAAATAAACCTGCTTCTTAACTTTAAACATTTACCCAGAGGTTCTGAGCACATATTTCAGAGTTTAACACACACACACACACACAAATACACGCACAGGTGCACACAAACACACAAACACACGCACGTACGCGCGCACACACACACACACACACACACACACACACACACACACACACACACACACAGCGAAATGAATTC